AATTTATGAAGCTACTAAAGAATCTATGATTGGTATAATCTCTACAACTACCTGCAATTGTCACAATTGTTATTTTGTCGATTATTTTCAGAAACAAAACGTAAAAAACAAGAGTTTGTTGATAAAATAACGAAAGTACAACGTCAAATAAATGATAAAACAAAATCCCGTAATATAACAATATTAGCTGTGAAAGAATCTCAAAAAGAACAGCAACAACAAATGTCAGAGCATCACACTGAAATAACAAATATCGAAGAAGATATTTATGAAAAAGGATGTCGATTAGAAACCTTACAAGCAGAAAATGAACGATTTCAACAAGTATGACTTCTTCTGGTCTATTCTATCAATTCAATTTTTGTGATGAAAACGTTTTTTGCAATTTTTTCTACCGAATATCAAATGAAGTTACCAGGCAGATTTTCATGGAAAGAATAGTTTTTTGACTTCAAATTTGTCTTCTTTCCTTGCACCGTGAGATGTGCTCAATGACGGATGATTTCTCTCAGACGGCAATGTCTCATGCTATTCATCCGATCTAAAGGAGAGTTCCATACAATATGATTTATCATATTTGTCGATTAAAAAAGTGTCACCAGAAATTTCGAGCCGTTCACGAGACTTATACGCGACGCAATAGTCAAAACAGAGTTGTTCTTACGGTTTATTATTACACGCGATGTGATAGCTACAAAGTTCAAGTTTGTTTTAAATGAATATATTCTTAAATCTAAAAACTTGTTTAGACGTTTTTCTGGATATGCATTGTTCTTTGGCGGCATTTAAAGTTGAAAGTTTCAAGGATATTTCCATCTGTGTCGTCTCTTGGATTATAGTGACGAAAAACTCGATGATCTTAAGGTTTTTTTCAGGAATCAGAGATCCGCGTTGACCAAAAATTTAGGATCGACTACTTCTGAAAACTTTCTAGTCTGATCCAATCAAATACCCGACTCGTGCAAATCTCTATCAGGTGTGTCACGACCAGTCATCAGGTCTCCTAATGATGATTTCCACTCAATAATTCAACCGCCTTTTTGTCTTTTCAAACTATTTTTTGCGATAGATTCGGACGCCATTAACTCCCACTCTAAAATCAACGGATTACCACATCCTTGGTTTTTCCTTATCACTATTTTGTGTACAAGAATAAGCTAATTTACCAAAAATGTCTGGAATTTTGTCTATTACTTCTTGAAGTGTGAATTCTGAAGGAAAAACCCGACGGCTATACCGACATGAAAGGAATAAAAGTTCAAATTGAGAAAATAATTCTCAAACTCCGATTCGAATCGATATCCTGCACTAAGAAAAAATTCGTGATCAACTGAAAACAATCGGATGGTTTTAACTGAGCGATAAATTGCAACTACTTCTCGATTTGTAAATTTGAGTCAAAAGCACCATCGATTTCTCAATACTAAAAGTAAATCTTTACAATCTACTAAACAAATCTACATCTTTTGACTTTGACTTTTGAACAAAAACAAATTAGCAGAATATGTTGAATCGTTATGGAAAAAAACGTACGTCAGTCAGCAACATGTTTTGGCTTTTGTGATTTTTCGGGCTTGATAAATATGTCACTTTTGCGTTAGTGGGAGACGTTTTAGCCATTTAACCGGTAAGAGCAACGTTGACAAGATTTTGATTATATTTTTAGACGATAGACTACATGGAAAATCAAATTGAATTGTTCAATCGCTTTACAGAGCAATCAACAGCTGATATGCAAACATTAGATGATACCAATGTTGATCTTTTAGGTAATACTTGCTACAAAGAATTTGTGTGCAGTGCTTTAGATTAAGGCACTATTTCTGTCAAAGATACCAGTATGTGTTATTTTTACTATAGGAAAACTCGAAGATGGTTGGGTGAGTGATCGAAAATTAGAAAACGCTTTTGCGCAAAAAGATTTAGAATATATTGAACATTTGACAAATCTGTTAAAACTAACTGAAAAACGTAAAGATAAAATAGGAACGGTTGTTCATCGACTTGTTGGTGAATTGCAACACTTGAAATATTACCTTGAAGGAATGTCGAGTCCAGGTAATATATCATACTGACTAATCAAAGCTTCACTAAATGTCTGCACTTTTAGAACCTCGGCCCCCACGTTCACATTCAGCAAGAAAAGGATCATTTCGTCGACGAAGTATATCAAATGAACGTGTTCGATCAGCTGGAACACCAGCACCATTAGCTGATATTATTTCAAAACGACAACGTGCATCATCGGCTAATCGAGCAAAATCAGTCTCATCGGCTACCAGTCCATATCCGACACATACATTTGAATTGGATGGCGATGTTCAACGTCGGGTGACAATATTTGTTGAAGATAATTTTGATGTTAAAAGTAATAAGAAAAGTTCTCAGCGATC